TGTTTATTAAACAAGGACAAATGATTCTCACAAATTATGAGTGTGAATTGGACTACAATCTATATCATTTATATGATTGTATATATATATATATATTTGATGAGTTATTATATTAAGAATCTTTTAGACCTTTTAGGTTTTTCATTATCTGATTAACTTGTAATTTAGATTAATTAATATCACTTAACTTAACAGTATAAAAATAACAATGTAATATGATAACAATGTAAAAATTGTATTTTTCTAGTTAATCACTAAACTATATATAATAATTTATAATAAATACCAATAATTTTGTACTATAATAAACTTTAAAAATTCTTCACTACAAAATCATCAGTTTAGTGATTAGATAGAAAAATAGAATTTTTACTTTATTATCAGGTTAAACACAATCACAGGTTAATCAATAAATGAAAATTGGGTTTAATGGCTTTGAATACTGATAATACAAAAAAATGTTTAATCTTGATATTAAACCATGATATTCTTATGCATTTCGACACTCTGAAATTGAATTCGATGTCCAAATTGCTCCATCACTTTTTTAAGTAAGTTAAACTTTATATCACTCCTTTTAACTTTTTCAGATGCTCTTAAAAAAATTTTCCTACACAAGTTGTTTTGCTGAAAAAAGGCCATTTAGTAGTGACCAGTATATTAAAAACTAGGTCATAAATGGTTCTAAAAATATTGGAAAATTGAATTATTTTCCATTGGTAAAAAAAAATTGTGATGGAGCAATTTAAACCTCGGATTCGGTTTCAATGTCAAAATATATAAGAATACCATAGTCTAATTTCCAGGTCAAAAATATTAAATTTTTATGTGTGCTGTGTAATCGTCTGTTGTCGAAATTAGTTTGCTAATGATTAGTTTGTTGGGGAGTCAACTATCGCGAAGGTTCATCTTGGAAACGCTCGGTCAATATCGGCTCGGCAACTCCTCATCGATATTTCGACAATTCCTCACCTCGATTTGGTATCCAGCGTACAAAGTAGGAGCAGATCGATCGTACGATCGATATCCCTGCGCGACGCGAACTGAAGGAATTTACTGCAATCGATCGACTGTCCGTGCAGGTCGACACTCGCGGCGAGCACACGAATCGGTGTGTATTGCACGCGCGTGCACACGAGACACGCGTGTATGTCATACACGACTAATATTCACTTTCACCCCACGAACGTACAATTCGCAGCCTGCGATGTGAAATAACGTCGTTAGCAGGACACGACATACGGGGGAGAGAAAAAAAAAAGGGAAGTGTCGAACGTGTAACAAGAAATGGCAAATAAAAGAAAGCATCGTTAGATGCTATTAAAACGGAATATTTGTACTATAACGGAAGAAATGTCATTCTAATTAAATAAATAAATTACGAAAACCAAACAGCTAGGCTATGTTACGAGCAATTCGTGAAAGAAACTTGCATGAAAGAAACATGGCTGGATTGTTATTTCAAAAGTTGTCAATAATTTATCAGTGATATCGTGTAACTATTACAGAAATTATAGCTGGCATTTCTATCACGTGAACAATTTTATACAATGGATAATAATCATATATATAAATATTTAATGCCGGAATTGAGAGGACGGTCGCATCAAATTAAAACTGATAAAGCTCAATTATATTTAATTTTCCGATAGAATCTTTTATCGGAACGTACCGATGAACTTTCCGTATTCAATGTATGAATCGAATATTCCACATTATAAGTTTGCTAATTTAAATACGGAAGCTCGTCATTTGCGATAATGATGTAACAGTTATTAGTAACTATCTAAATTTGAAGCTTTTATAGTTGAAGATGAAAATTACTTTAATCTTCGATAGCGAGCTCGATGCACAATACAACGATATTAATCAGAGTTCTTATAGTGAAACACGGCAAGCTTGCTCGAAATGATGTATTATTTGGGCCGCGCGAAATGGCGAAAGAGAGTTGCAGATATTGTATCATATTGCCACGTGTAGATAATAGACTGTAAATGGACAAGTTGAAACGCGAACAAAGCTCTTTCGCTGGTTAAATATTCCTCTTGACGCGAAGACAACTAGGAAGAAAGCTCCATTTCCACATTTCCCGTTCACATGCTTTGGATTTACGTTCGCGAAGATACTTTACGATAAAATAAATTTCGTTTCTCTCTGAATTTGCGAAAACTTTTATCTCTTGAGGTAGAACAGACGTGGTGCAAGCGACATTAGACAACTCTGTCAAGTTTCTGAGCTTGCAAATGATTTCCCTCGAGTACTTTTTCTTATCCTAGACTAAGATCCTAGATTGAACACAGTAAATGAAAAACTAAGGAGATGAAATTTATTTTAAAACAAATGTGAACGTACTTTGAAATAACATTAATTAAATATATGTTTTTCTCTTCGTTACGATTTGTACGTAGCACAGCTGCTTTAAAGCTTAACTTTCCAGTATCGAAGTGACGTAACGATCGTGTTAAGTACATAATTTTTACCGAAGAAAGTTGTATTATTAAAATAATTTTATCTTCTTAAATTATTATTACCTAACGTAAAAATATTTATGCAGACTGGAATAAATATCAACAAGAATGGCATTTTTTTGGTTTAATCAAAAACATTTTTCTCAGTGTACATGAAAAGAATCATGTTAGGATCATTCTACATATTTTAACTCTATGCAATTTCAACTCTATTTTTAGATCGTTGTCTAAAAATGTCACTTCGGCACTTGGACAGCTTTCCAGAGGCAGTCGCGAAAAACAAGCACAGCAGAAAAAGGGGGAAAAAATGTCTCGAACCGGAGTCGAAGGGAAACGCACAAAGGGAGCAGTTTACCGAAGAAGAAGCATTTACGCGAGAGGCATTAACTGCAATATAATCGGTCACGCACGGCAGGGTGGACAGTCGTTCACAGACATCCGTATCGCACGAGAGTTCCTGCGGAACTGACAGCATTTCCGTACGGCAACGTAAAAATCACGAGACTTCCACCTCTTCCCACCCCCTCCCATCCCCTCCGTTCCGGCCGCCGGTCACATGACCTTTTGCCTCCCGCCAGCGAGGATGCACTCTCGCCCTTCGCCACCCGTCTGTCCGCGCAGCCCCCAGGTCCATGACGCCCCTTTCGTGCTCGTCCCGAAAATGCTCGCAAAATCCTCGCCGCGCCGGTAGCGTTTGTGGTCCAACATTCCGTTCATGTTCCCTCGCGATTGGTTTAAGCAAAACGACGACTAAGAGGAAATTGTACCTCAAACCGATAACCTGTGAACGTTTCTGGTTTTGTTGAAACCGAAAATTGTTTAGGAAGCAGAAATAGACAACAGCGTAAATGTACTGTTGTAAGTAAGAGGTACGAAAATGAAGCTGTAAAATGACTGCGGTAGTTCACGAAACAAGACTTTGAGCGAAATTCTTATATAATCCTAATTCCACTCTCGTACTTTTTTGTCAAGTTAAGATGATATCAATGACATCATATAACAATAGATCGCAGAGATGACATTATTGATGATATCGTAATATAAGATTTAAGATTCTAAATATGTGAAGGGTTTAAGTAATATATAGTATATGATAACAATTGACATTTTTAATGAGACTTCACTAAATAAGATTTTGAGATTTTAAAATTTTTTAATGATATAATTTTAATCTTATTATTTTTGTACATCTTTTTATATCAAATAAAGATGTAATATCGTATAGAAAGACATCAAATATATATATAGTATATAAAGATAATATTACATCATCTTAAGAAATTCAAGATTTTAAATTATACATATAGATGTTGAGAAGCGAGTACGAATACGATATCAATAACTCATAGCGTCAAGAAGTGATTTGAACCTATCACTTTGAGTTTCCCAACTTCGATTATCCTTAGAGAACTTGAATCTCTGTGCATATTGTAATGGAATCAAATTCGAAGGCATTATTCTATTGAAATTATTCAGTTCCATCGACATTATCTGAGATCAGACATATATAATAATGTACACATTGGAAAACTAGTCAAAATTTTGAAAAAAATTAATTTTTTCGTATGAATTATTTGTTAAAACGGCCTTAAATCGAATTAAAAAAATTTTTTTTAACTTGGTTACATTAAAATTAGATCTTCAGGAGTTAAGACGACTGTTCCTACGGCAATGACTTATATACACCTCGCTTATATGTCTCGCTTATCAGGCTTCTTAGGGCATACATACATGAAAAATATTCACTCCTCTGCACAAACGAGATTATACCGTGCATTTCGGTAGACGAAGGGCGAGACATCCCGAAACGTCATTTCACATGCAACATAAGAACAGTCATAAATCATTCGTTTATTACGGAAACGACTGTTTACCGAATAAACGCAGACAGCTCGGGTAAATAACGGTCACACGGTAAATCTTCAGCTCGGCTTCGTGTATCTGCGATAATTGCGACACGTATGCTCTCGAGATGTGCTCTTGACGCGCTAGAGAGTTTACATTAAATTTGACCCGCCTGTTTGCCGCTAAAACATCATATATTCTCAATAGACCTCGAACTGCCACGTTATATTTCACATTTTGAAGATATTGTGCGATGATAATTCACATGTTTTAATTTGATCGCCGGATATAAATCTACATGAAAAAAAACCGATTTTGCTGAAGTATCTAAAAATTTAGCTACATAGATAGCTAGATAGATACAAATCTGAAAATAATTTTGTTCGCCATCAAAACATAGGAATCTCAAGCGTAATGAGCAATGCTGCAAAAAGTTTTGACATTTTAGCAACAAGACATTTTGAACGTTCTACATATTTGTGATTCAACAAAATTATTTTCAGCTTTGTACTTAGCTGAAATACAATAAAATCGTCCTTTTTGTATTCCTCCCACCTTATAGTGTTATTAAGATTGCAGGAAAGATTTAATTTCGATCATAATAATCTTCTTTTCCACGATCGCAAAATTTATAAAAAATTTTCAAAAGATTCGGAATTGGTTCCAAGTTATCGACCAAAATCTCACCTGCCACTTCCGGGAGTCCTCACGACGTCGTAGCGAACACTGGGCTTCCTGCGACGATCTCTTGGACTTCTCAGGACTTCCCTGCCGTTTCTGAACGTTTCTTGAACGATATCGCGCGGGTGGGTGTGAGTCTTTAGCGGTTGATACGCTTCGGTGATCGCGCAGACGCCGATGCAGCCGCAGCACTTGGACATCACGCTCAACTCTTTCAACCCGACGATCGAATCCGCGCCTCCCGCAATGTTCAGTCCTTTTTTCACCGTTGCTGCTTTTCTACCGCTATACCATCGCAATCCCCCGAACCGCTTTACTTTCCAGTACACCAGGGCTCTGGTATCGACATCGTCTGCACGTCGTATCGCTTGTAAGAGGAAAAACACGAGGCGCAACTTTTCCGCTGCTCTTTGGCGAGAAAGCACGTCCGCCGATATAGAAGGTTCGAATGAAATACATTCGACGGTTTAGAACAGGCACGATGCCGCCGGTCCCGCACGGCCAGTATAGGTTAGATATATGTATGTATAAGAAACCATACGAATCGGAAAAGCCCGTGATCTATCGCGCGCGTGCT